ATAAATGCCACCTGACATGTTAGACAAATCTTGCACTGTTTGCTAGTTTATCAAAAGGGCAGGACACTTTATGCCCTGTACCAGTTATGCGATGTATAGATCCTTTGAACAAAAATGACGCTGCCTCCGTTTCACATGCCCTAGATTGGAAGAGCAAACCAAAGACTAGACTAAATGCTTCATACAGATATAGGATGCGCTATGTTGTCAGGATATTGTTTGACCTGCTCAGCTAACTGTTAAGAATCACTCATTTATTTTATTTTATTCTTTTTATTCTATTTCAATTAACCAAGCTTGTATCACTATGTTTACTGGTGTTTCAAAAACAAAAAATATGGCAGTCCTTCTTAGGAGAGTATTACAAACCATCTTGTTATCATTAACACGTGTTACCCCAACAATATCTCCTTTTTCTATTCTGTACCCATAACGCATATGCCATAATAAAAAAAAGATTTAGAAAAAAAATAAACATTAAAAATAAACTGATGATCATTAAAAAGAAGCAAAATGGATAAATAAATTTTTTTGCATGGATCCTTAAAAGCAGCATGTGTGCGCTTACCCTACAGTATTCAATAAATAAATAACGTTTGAAACTGTGATGGTACATAAAAAGCTTATTTTAGAAAACCTTTGCAACACAAAACTCCTAGGGGTATGCATCGTTCCTAAATGCAAGGTAACATACATAAATATCTTAATATTGATTGTGTATTTCATAACTTTGTCTCCATATATTATACAACATGCGATGGATGGCAATTTAGAATAATTAGGATTATTTTATAAGGTTTATTTTAAGACTACATTTACTCATTTTGTTAAACAGTGTGGGGGCTAATAGTGTTAGCAAATAGGTAAAAACAATTGATTGCCGATAAATGGATTAAATGGCTTTTTGGGTTGAACTTGTAACACATTTATCATTTATCATTTTGGTATTTGTTATGTACACATAACTGACAAGTTCTAGTAGATGATATTGCATAGAATAAGGATGATACTGCATAGAGTAAAGAATACAGTGCCATGCAAAAGAAGAGAGCATCGTGCAATTTAAAAAACATAAAAAAAATTTTTTTTATTGATAAGGACCTCTCTCTCACAAACACAGAACCAAACTACACACAGGAAGATTTACATCCTGCATTTACTTTTTACCCACAACATATGAAGAGTGACTCCATCAAAGTCTTCAAAAAAATGGTAGAAAAAGACCTCAGGAACAAAATCAAGAATGACATAAGTAAAGACAATCTCACTAAGAAAGAAATGAACTCTCTTAAAGCTCTAATGAAATCAGAAGATATTACCATTAAACAAGCTGATAAAGGAGGTGGAGTGGTAATTATGGATACAAGAGACTACAACGAAGAAAATCTAAGAATATTGGGCAATACCTCTACTTAAGAAAAACTAGAGAACGACCCCACAGACGTATACGTGGAAAGATTGAAAGAAATGCTTGAATACTGCAGAGAAATAGGTATTATCAATGAAAGAGAGTAGGTATATGTGTGTGAAACATCCTAGGGTCCCAGTGTTTTATCACTTACCCAAAATACACAAAAGACTTCAAAAGCCTCCTGGGAGACCTATTATATCAGGCATTGGGTCACTGACAGCGAACCTATCAGAATATGTGGACTACTACCTACAAGATCTAGTCTCACGCCTTAGATCCTACCTCAAAGACTCCACCCAAATCCTTAATCTATTATCTGACCTAATTTGGGAAGAAGACATGATTTTAGTGACGGCTGATGTCACTTCCCTATATACAGTCATTGAGCACCTACAAGGGTGTGAAGCTACTCAGTACTTACTGGCAGTATACTCAGAGCTCAAGAACGACAAGATAGATTTTTTAATCCAGTGCATACCTTTTATCTTGGGACACAATTATTTTTGGTCAGATGGTCACTTTTATCTACAACTGGAGGGCACAGCCATGGGAACACATTTTGCGCTGGGTTATGCTAATCTTTTTATGGGTAAGTGGGAGGATGCATTCTACAGAACAAATTGAATTTCTGGACTTATGCATATACTTAAAAGAAGGAAAATACACACTAAGACCTTAAAGAAAAGTGTAGACTGTAACAGCTTCATTCCCTATCATAGCCACCACAAACCTACGTGGCTTAAGAGTATTCCTCAAAGCCAATTTAGGAGAATTAGGCGGAACTGCTTGGAACTGGATGTTTGTAAAGAACAGATGGTGGACATGAAATTGAGATTCGAGATGAAAGGCTACCCGACTCCACACCTAGAGAATTCAATGAAAAAAGCAATAGCCATTCCAAGGGAAGATACCTTACATAGCAGGATTCAACCCCCAAGAAGCCACAATAAGGCTCCGGTATTTATTACCCAATGCAATAACCAATCAAATGTTATTCAAAATGTACTTAGGAAACATTGGGGTATTTTGAAAAGTGACTCTACATTCTCACGAATCCTGGATGATCAATCTCAAGTCATTTTTACAAGAGCACCGAACCTGAAATTGATGTTGGCCCCAACTTTGAAATCCAGAGTTTCCACGAAGGACAGGGATGGAACAAAGGGATTCCAAAGATGCAAACAATGCCAAGGATGTAAAAATAATCCCTCCAAAGAAGTAACAAGTTCTAAATTTACATCTTTGGAAGATCTAAAAGAATACAAGCTGAAGTCTCATATGAATTAAAATACCTCAGGTGTCATCTATCTCATTACCTGTCCATGTCCAAGTCAATATGTAGGAAGAACGAAGAGACCACTCAAAGAAAGGATCGTCGAACATATTCGGAACATTAAAAAAGGTCTACCTACACACAACCTATCAAAGCACTTTAAGGAGGCACACGGTGGAGATCCTACTGGCTTAGAATTTTTAGCCAAGAGAAAGTTGACACACACTGGAGAGGAGGGGACCTAAAAAGAAACTTAGATCAAATAGAAGCGAAATGGATCTTCTCCCTCAACACTTTAGGGCCGAAAGGTCTGAATGTCGACTTTGAACTGAATGCTTTTTTATGACAGGAGCTTTTTTATGACAGGTCATTTTATTCCCATGCTATTTTATCCCCCTACTATTTTTATTTTGGGGTTACGTATATCTTCTATTTTAGTTAGTGGCAGGAGGTCTCTTCTAATAATACATATCCCAATATCCGTTTTAAAGTCATTGCCCACTTTTATCTTTATATTTTATCCTTCAAGATATTAATTTTCTATTCTGATCTCTCCATTTTTATCCTTCATTTTTTTTCCCTTCAATTTCTATCATGTAGCGGAATGTTTGTCCTCATTTTTAGATTTTCCATTGGATTGATTTTATTTTATTTTTCATTCTTCTCCCTATAAGATCAACAAACAGTAGTGTACTATTTTTCCTTGTTCATTTAAGGTGCCAGATTTACTATATTTATATTTTTATTCATTTAATAGCACCTAATAAAAATTTTCTGCATAGAAACTTTCCATGCTATAAGACGTTACTATGTGTGGTGATCTATTAACAATGGACTGTGCAGTTTGAAAAGTCAACTAAAATATGAAGTTTATTAAAGCAGTATATACAAGTACACTTTGTTTTCTACACCCCCCCCCCCCTTTTTTCTTTCTGTTTCTTTTTGAGACAGCCACGTAATATAGGTTTTATATCACAAATTTATTTCTTTCTCTCTTCTCTCTCTTTTTTTTTTTTAAATTGCACAATGCTCTCTACTTTTCCATGGCACTGTATTCTTTACTCTATGCAGTATCATCCTTATTCTATGCAATATCATCTACTAGTACTTGTCAGTTATGTGAACATAACTAATACCAAAATGCTAAATGATAAATGTGTTTCCAGTTCAACCCAAAAAGCCATTTAATCCATTTATCGACAATCAATTGTTTTTTTTTTTTGTTTTTTTTTTTAAATCTTTATTTTGGTGTGCAACAAAGGAATAACATACAGGCCTGCATAGCCACGACAGCATCAACAAGCTTAATGTGGTCAAACATTGGCATACAGTGTCATGACATGAGGTATAATTGCACTTTTTTATGGGTTAAAGAAACTGGCTTCAATATGTAAATCTTGAAAAATTACAGGCTAGAGAAGTAGGTCTCAGGTTAGGTAGGTAAGTATGTTGAGTAAGGTAGTTAGCAAGGTTAACATGTCAAGATATAAAACAGGCTTAACATTAGATTCTATTCTGCCCTGTGTGCTAGATGGTAAATATATACAGTATTTAGTGGTTATCAGGCTTAAACATGACTTAGATTGTGATACATATATATGCAGAGTGAAAGATCTGCTGGATTTTAGAGATTAGGCTTATAGGTGAATACCGCTTCGCTTTTACATTTAAGAGCCATCGGGCAGACAGATAGATGGGAAAGGGAAAACAGTGGATTAAATAGCGCTGGGCGGGTATCTCATACATGACTATAGTGCCTGGGTAGCAGTGAAGGTGCTTTTAGGGCATGAATTAAAGGCTTTACAGTGCTATATTAAGTTACATGCTGCAAGTAAAATCACCAGGTCTGAGCAGGTTATTGGGTACAGTGCATGTCTCTGTGCAGGTCTATATAGAGCGTTGGTGAGTGTCTTCAACCCACTCTGCATGGTGAGATAGCGTGGTGGTCTTGGGAGGCCAGGTCATCAGGCCGCGGTTGGGGGCCCTGTCCATTCCACTCACGAGTAGGGGTCAGCCGTGCTTCTCTAGCTAGCTCTTCCTTGGCTTTTGGCAGGCTTGGGCGTGGGTCGCATCCAGCTGCCTATGGTCTTGCAGAGTCTGTGTGCCATTGTCTTCGGCCTGAAGGGAACCTGCTCTGTCGTGCCATCAATTCCATTTTGAGGGTCGTGGGCCCAGGGTGCTTACGGTTCTCGGGTGTCTCCCCGGGTGTATGGCTGGCATTGGAGGAATACCTCCATGTGAGTACCCAGCCCAGAAGAAGGGCATGTGGCGGAGACTGCAGCGTCGTCCATGTGCATGGCTGGGCTTGTGAGTTCAATGGAGCTGGTCGCTGATAAAGCTTCCATCTGGAGCTGTGCCGTGTGGGTGATAGGCGGCAGCGTTTGCTCTGCCTGTGCTGCAATCCGACTCCAGAATGCTGCACATATCCCGTTGAAGGCAGCATTAAACTTGGTTTCCCATGTCGGTTCAGTGTGCTCCCCTACTCCATCAGCCATGTTGGTTACGGCCCATGAGTGGGAAGCGGCAGCATGTGTTGATGTGATGCTCTCGGCTGTCTTTTCCCCAGCAGGGACCGGTCCAGAGGGGGGGAACAGGTTGCTTGCATTTGCCCGGTGGTCCCAGGTTGGAGGATCGGCCCTTTCCTCCCCCCATGGGTCCCTCGACGTGAGTAGGCCTCAAATGCAGCGTTTGGCTTCAGAACGGCGGGCGAGTGTCCGGAGTCGTTTAATAGTGCTCCCCAGCGGTTATTTATAGTGTGCAATCTCGTTTGTCACTGTTTTAGGGGTAGAATCCAAGTTTGTGCCCGGTTTAGCTTAGTTTTTGTGAGAAGCTCACCACATACACGTCTGTCGGCCATGCTGGTCATGCCCCGCCCCCTGAAAATCGATTGTTTTTACCTATTTTCTAACACTATTAGCCCCCACACTATTTAACAAAATGAGTAAATGTAGTCTTAAAATAAGCCTTATAAAATAATCCTAATTATTCTAAAATGCTATTCATCGCATATTGTATAATATATGGAGACAAAGTTATGAAATACACAATCAATATTAAGATATTTATGTATGTTACCTTGCATTTGGGAACGATAAATACCCCTAGGAGTTTTGTGTTGCAAAGGTTTTCTAAAATAAGCTTCTTTGTAAAATGTACCATAACAGTTTCAAACGCTATTTATTTATTGAATACTGTAGGGTAAAAGCACACATGCTACTTTTAAGGATCCATACAAAAATGTTTATTTATCCATTTTGTTTATTTTTAATGATCATCAATTTATTTTTAATGTTTATTTATTATCTCCAAAGTGCATTCATTTTCAATGTTTACCTATTATCCATTATGGATTTATCATTCATATTATCGCATGTTCTATTTTTGACAGATGCACACTGTTACTATTATTTTTATGTCACTTGCAACAAAAGAGTTTATAATTTGTTATATTATACATACACTGTAATTAATGTTGATTGTTTTTGCAATTAGCAATTTTAACACTAGCATATATTGTGAAACTGCAGCTCACCCCTCGATGTGAGGTCAGAGGTGAAGCAGACAGTAACTCAAATGCCATCCTCACAGGCTACCAGGATTATTATTGTTATTATTATTATTATTATTATGATATTTATAGAGCGCCATCAAATTCTGCAGCGCTTTAGTGGGTGGATGAACAGACATGTAGTTGTAACCAGACAAGTTGGACACACAGGAACAGAGGGGTTGAGGGCCCTGTGGGGTAAAATGACACAAAAAGGTAAGGATAATATTAGACTAGTGACAGTTGCAGAAGAGGAATAATTTGGGAGCTATTAACAGTTTAATTGATATGCTTTTATGAAGAAGTGGGTTTTTAACGATTTTTTGAAGGAGTGGAGACTGGGTGAGCATCTAACGGAGGAGGGAAGTGAGTTCCACAGGAAAGGTGCAGCCCTCAAGAAATCTTGAAGGCGAGCATCAGAGGAGGGAGTACGGACAGAAGATAGACGTAAGTCTTCAGCAGATCGTAAGGGCCTAGACGGGACATACTTGTGTATAAGGGAGGATAGATAGGTGGGAGCAGCATTATGTAGAGATTTGAAAGCAAGAACCAGAATTTTAAATTGAGCTCTATATTTTATAGGAAGCCAATGTAGGGATTGACAGAAGGGTGAGGCATGGGAGGTGCGGGCGGACAGGAAGATGAGCCGCATTCATTATGGACTGTCACGGCGCTAGTTGGGAGCACGTAAGACCACTGAGAAGCGGATTACAGTAGTCAAGGCGAGAAAGGACAGTGGAATGGACCAACACCTTAGTCGCATCTGGGTACAGAAGAGGATAACTACAAAGACAATACATATCCATCTGGGTTTGGACTGCCGGTTTTATCGTTATTCTTACTTGGTTTCTAATAGACTACCTACCTACCTCAGTTTCTTATCATTATTTTTTATATTTGAATGTATTTTTAGTACCATAATAAATTCACTGTTTTATCAATCAACCCCTTTTTTCATGTGACTACTTTTCACAGAACTGTGATAACATCACTAATTCAAGCTTTCACGCTTTTGAGCAATTAGTTCCTTGTACTTATTTGCTCTGGTTTATATACCTGGACTATTACTTCATCTTTTATCCATAAAAGAGGATAACTACAAATACAATCCATATCCATTCAGGTCTGGACTGCAGGTTTTATCGTTATTTTTACTTGGTTTTGTTATGGGCAAATGCAAATATTACAAGGTTTAGAATGAAATGTTGTATTTCTTAAACTGTGTACTTTGTCTTTAAGAGATATTGCAAACTGACAAGGTGTTAGAAATGAAACATATTGTTTTTCATAGATGTTTCTTTAAGCAATAACCTCAGTGCATAATATGTTTGCGCCATTTTGTCCCAGACGAATTACAATAACAATAATGCATAAACAAGCTTCAAGGCTATACTACGACTCTTTCAGTACACAATACACTGTTGTAACCCCAAGTTAATGGAACTTCCCCAAATCCGGGAATCTCCCACGACTGTGCACTTACGACTTGACTTAGTATAAACAACAGATCAGCTATTCAGACTTTAAGATGCCATCTTGAACTAAGTCAGGAAAATTTCCATGACGTATGCACCCTATAGTTATGACCTTGTATGTTTGCCAAGTTAAGGGAGGTCCTAAAATGAATAAAGTAAAAGAAGTGTTACTTTTTCAAATATGAACTACGGTAATTTTGATTACGGCTAGAGATAATGGAATTATATCTTCAAAAAATTTAGGTTTTTTATTAAAAAATCCAGTGATTCCGATATTTTATTTTCTCCCTAAAACTCACAAGCACCTCCCTGATCCACCAGGTCGCCCTATTATCAATGGAGTTAACTCTCTCACTGCTAATTTATCTGCGTATGTGGACTCTTTCCTTCAAAAATATGCTCAAGGGGCACCCTCCTTCATATGGGATACTAAGTCTTTTCTACAAGAATTAGACAGCATAGAGTGGGACCCTGAATACAGTTGGGCCACGTTGGACGTGACCTCTCTGTATGCGGTAATTAGTCATCGTTTAGGATTGGAGGCTCTTGATTACTATATGTCTCAGGATTTGGACCTGTCCCAAGGCCAAAAGGAATTTATATTGACCTCAGTGAAATTTATTTTGGAACATAATTTTTTCTTTTTTAATGATCAGTATTATCTACAGATCACAGGGAACGCCATGGGCACCAGGTTCGCCCCCAGTTATGCCAACACCTACATGCGGAGATGGGAGGAATTATTTGTGTGGTCGAGGCATGACTGGAGGGAGAGCCTGGTGCTCTGGCGGCGTTATATTGATGATGTGATCATCATTTGGAAGGGGTCCTCCACCAGTTTTTTCGATTATGTCCAATATTTAAATTCCAATTTATATAATCTTCTTTTCACCCCGTAGAGGAATAAGAATGAAATCCATTTTTTGGATCTTGATATTTTTTGCGATCAGGGCCAAATTCAAACCAAATGTTTTTTTAAACCAACGGACGGTAACGGCTTCGTACATCAACGAAGCTGTCACCATAAGCCCTGGCTTAGAGGTATATCACGAAGCCAATTTACTAGATTGAGACGCAATTGTTCTCGCCCTCAAGATTTCCAGACTCAATCTTCCCATATAAAAAATAAATTATGTGCAAGGGGCTACAATAAGAACACGCTGGGAAAAGAAATTCGATCAATTGGTCTTCTTGAACGGAGTAAACTTTTGGAGGACAAACCCCCCAAAATTGTGGGGAATACGAATTTTAAATTAGCCTTTGTCACCCAATATAATACGGATCATTTTAAGATTAAAAGGAGCCTAAGTGATTTTTGGCCCATTTTACAACAAGACCCCATTTTGTGTAATTCTTTGTCTGAACGTCCGATGGTGATCTTTAAGAAAAATAAGAACTTTAAAAATATGCTAGCCCCTAGCTATCCCATTAAAATAAATAGATCTAATGGATCCCCTGAATCGGGTTGTTTTAGGGGTTGTAATGCTTGCAAAGCTTGCACTACTGCCCTTATGGGGAGAACTAAGGAATTAATTAGTTACATCACGGGGGAAACTTTTAAGATTAAATCATTGATAGGTTGCCACACGGACTATGTAGTATATTTACTGCAATGTTCGTGTGGCAAACAGTATGTGGGACGCACGAAACGTATCTTGAAGGTCAGAATCTTGGAACATTTAAATAATATACGTAAGGGACTGGTTACCCATTCGGTCTCTGCTCATTGCAACAATTGTCCTTCCTTCTCGTTTAGAGAATTTAAGTGTATGGGTATTGAACATGTCCTTCCCTACTGGCGGGGAGGCGATAGGGTCAAAAAGTTATCCCAAAGGGAAACCTTTTGGATACACAAATTAAAGACCACCTCTCCTCTGTACTATAATATAATATTTTTAACACATGTGCATGCTCTATTTTGTGAATTGCACTATTCATAATATTTTGTATTTCTTATATGAACATGCATGTCTATTTTATTTTGATATATAACACTATGTATAGTATCTTATATTTTTTTTGTATGTGTATATACTTATGATGGTTTTAAGTTGTTAATGTTTACAAGATGTCAGCTATTTTTAACAAGCATATGCCTTTATTTGCCTTTTATATCTGTATTTTTATTAACATCCTTTTTTATATATTTGCCAATTATAAAATAATAACTATTTTTCTAACACACATTTTTTATATATGTTGCCGAACTACAAGTCCCATGAACATTAGTAGACCGAGATATGTTACTTCCGGTTGACGAAATCATTGTTGGTGGGACACTGGACAACTTATACTACAAGTCCCATCAACCTCCGGGAGTTTACGTCACTTCTGGGAGCTATATACAACCCGGAAGGAAGAGACTTATCAATATTGACAGCAATACTACATATCCCATCAGGCTATTGGGAGATCCGCTGATGTCACTTCCGGGCGCCACATGCGACCCGGAAGTAGGACGTCTATTCACACCAGGAAGAAATCAAGGTAACCAGGGACCCTTATATAAAAGAGAACTCAACTCAGATTGGACTCATACTTCTGAAGAAGCCCCAGATTGGGCGAAACGCGTTAAGCAAGAGACTTGAAACAATTTCTTTTATCCCTATTTTATTTTGTAATAATAAAGTTTTAGTTTTTACTACTTTATTTATTGTTCCTGGTACAACTTGCAGCCTGGCTTATATCCTTTGGTGGGGATCATACCACCACATGCTGTCTATACCAGAGCAAGATATTTGCTCTGGAATATGTAAGTAGGATACTTTTCCTTTATTTGTATATTCTTAATAGATATACTATACCATTGGATTTTATTTTTATTTTTTCTATATATACCACTGTGGAGGATTGGACACCGCATTATACTACAATTGAGATCCAGAGACGGGGATTGTACCGTCCAGGCGCTATACAGCACAGCTCTAAGTAGCTCTGCAAAGTGTGAGTGAGTCTGTATGGTTAGCCCTGCTAAGTTCTATGCTTTAAGACATTATAGTGGTAAATAAGAGAACCAACCGCGGTTACAGTTTCAAATAGACTACCTACCTACCTCAGTTTCTTATCATTATTTTTTATATTTGAATGTATTTTTAGTACCATAAATTCACTGTTTTATCAATCAACCCCTTTTTTCAACTGACTACTCTTCAAAGAACTGTGATAATATCACTAATTCAAACTTTCAAGCTTTTGAGCAATTAGTTCCTTGTACTTATTTGCTCTGGTTTATATACCTGGACTATTACTTAATCTTTTATCCATAAAAGTATATTAAGTCATAAGTACTATTAACCCTGTGTTGTTCTCACGAGCAGGGTCTAGGTTACTTATGCTATAAATACCGTCCTTATGATCTAATACGCTATGTGGATTCCAATGTAATCTTCAACAATTTGGGACTATCAGTTGAATTCAGGACTCTTTTATTGGACTGAATATTTATTAAGCTCAATACCATTGATTTATTTAAGTGATTTATTTAAGTGATTTCCTGTCTTTTATTCCACCACTAATTTCTTTGTTTAAGGTTACACCTATCTCTACATACATATATATCTACTTCCACTGATTTAGCTCGTGGATACTATTATTTAAAGAAACCTACATCACAGTTGTGTATAGTCAATGAGGGCAATTTGTGTTCTGTTCTAAAAAGTGGTGCCAGATGAGGCACTAATGGAATGTGCCTACTGATTTTATTTGTTTCCAGTTTAGAAATTTGATAAACACTTTGATAAACCTAACCCACTGTTTCTTATCATTGTATATTATTATGTCTTATTTGACACACAAGGTGTCAGACTGGAAGACTTGAAAAGTGGCCCCAGAGAAAAAATGTGTGGCCTTGCTTTATACACTCAAGACGTTTCAGTCTTATTTCTGTTGCTAGAACCTTTGAGTACATATAGAGTTCTACCTTGCAATATTGACGTACAATTATGGCAGCGTCCATCACCCAGGAATCCTGACATCCTGTTCAGGTGAGAACAAATTAAAAAAAGAATGAATAGTCCAGCACACCGCTACGCTTATAAGCATTCCAATCTTATTGAGATGACACAGTAAGCAGCAACATTTCACTTTATTTTAGGTCTTTATCAAGCTAGGACAGAATTTGTAAATTGTTTACTGTGTGGTTTTTTTTCTACTTAAAAGTGATCTTTTTAGATTAGCATATTGGCCTCATATATTTTTTTTTTTCATATTTTACAATTTTACCCAAAGCAGAATGTTTTCCTCTGTTATCAGAAACTGATACAAAATGCCTTAACACCTGCTGGCTACAAAAGAGCTATTGGTTTTAAAACAGCTATCACTAGGAGCAAATAACGATTATTTAGAGCATACAGCTACTAATCTCTCGAGGTTACCCTTAGACTGGCTGCAGAAGATGCTATCACTGTACCAATTGCTACTGGAGGACTTGGCCTCAAGATGGCCATCCTTCCTTTGAGTAGCACAGTAAAATTCCAACAGTATCCACAGGCCTGAGCCAGGAGCCTGGTAGTAAATCCGTAGGCCAGAAGTGTCAACGATACTGTCATTAATATAATTTTTTAAAAAGAGAAAACCTCTCCTGAAAAATATCAGTAATGTGTAAGACAATATGTGAAAACTAGCTATTTCTTACAAACACAAGAAACATGTAAATCAGTGAAAATAATTTAACAACCACTAAATATATTCAGGCTTAAAAGTATGGATTGCTGTGAATTCATAATAAATGTAAAGAAAATGTATTTAACCAGACTGGAAGAAAAATATCTAAAAGTCAGCAGTATTTTTACTTAAGCTATTTTGGGTTAAAGTTTAAAATTCGCTTTGAATTCATAATAATTCACATTTTAATGAATAACATTTATGGATTCCAAAACTCTGGCTTGTACATTTCTTTAAAATAAAAAAAAGTAAACTAATTTTTTTTTTATTTGATAGACACAAAAATATTCCCCCTTCTATTTCAGTATGAAATTAATAATTGTGTTTTGCAAGGTATGAAGTATTCTGTATAATCAGCCTAGGGCAGCAAAAACTACAGAGGTCACAGTTTATCAAAGTCAAGGAGACAACATAACGAAAAAAACAGAAAGAATCTAGGGTGAAAAGACAAGAAGCATTACAAATCAAAGAACATTCACAAACACAAAGGATCCAAGGAATACGCTTTTAAATTCACTTCACTTTCTATGAAAGGGGGACTCATTTTGTCGCAAATAATTGGCAATATGTTTTTTATCCACCTTTCCCTGTAATTTTTGCTGATGTGACCTGATTTTCTTAATTTCCATATGTGATGGAGATATTTTAGTCTGTTGCTAAAGCTAACATTTTAGTAAAGTCTACTTTATTTGCCTTGGCGTAGCTCTAATTTGTGTGATTGTCTCCCTTGATTCTGGGGATACAGTACTAATGTATGTTCCTCTTTTTTACATTTCAGCTATATCCCCCAAATAGTTGATTTCATAGCATTTTAAACAAGCAGGTAAATAACATGAACTATTGTGTTAGTGATAGCAAAGACATAAAAAAAAAATAAGAAAAGAGAAAATGAAAAGAGCACCTTTTATCCCTCAACGCGAATGTAACGAACGCTGATAGATCAGATACCCGTTTGTCTATTTTCTCCTGAACTGCTAGAGCTTGAGTGATTGTAGCTCGCAGTTCGGGTGTCGATTCGAATGTTTCTCCTAATGAATCACAGCATCCAAGTATATTCTCCCAGCAAAGTAGACAGATACCCAACTATCAGCCTGAAATAGATGAAGGGTATAACAGGAATGCTTTATTCAGGCTAACCGTCTGCTCTATATGCAGTTAACAATGTACAGGGTTCATGTTGACATATTCCCCACTGGACCTGAGAGGAGACAACGACAAAATACATTCTGCAGGTACATTGGCTCTCAGGTACAGGACACTCCTACCGACAATAATATAATCCGTCCCCTATACTGGGGAGATAATGGAGTCAAGCACTATACTAAACTCAATTATCTCCCAACACAAAAAACATACATTTCCATAAAACTCCAGAAAGTACTACAAACTCCATGAAAACCCCACAAAAACCCCACCTGATAGCCCCGATCTGGGGGACCAATATATTCAAAAATCACCCAAAATGGTTCAGGGGTTCAAGAGTTACAAGGAGGTCTTAATTTGACCGACCGCACACGATGCTCCTGCCCAGAAATAGTTCCATGAAATTGGACTGTGCAGTCAGTCTATTTTGAAAAGTACAAAAAACAAACAAATCTACAAATGGTTCCCCTGGGTCATAGGTGGTGTTTGTTCCCCTAGTTCGTGGGAACAAATCTACCCAATAGCGCTCTCCTGGCTGGTCTGTGAAAGGAAGCAGGCATTTGTGCAGTTTGACTGGCATTTGGGAAGTCAAGTGTCTGATTTTAGTTCCAGACACTTGACGATCAAGTACCGCTGCCTCCTTTTGTGCGAACAAGATGTTCGTTTCTTTTGCACATGGCGTTCAGCTATACGAACGGCGGCCACACAGAGAGAGCACTTAATTGGCGGTTTCCTTTGAAGTGAATGAGCCAGGGTGTGGTCGGTGTTTGGTAGTTTTATCTACCGAACAGGGAAAAACAAAAGTACCAAAATAACAGGGTTAGTTTCTTCACAGTGAATATGTGAAAAGATCGGGTGAAATACAGTGCCTTGCAAAAGTATTCACCCCCCTTGACTTTTTACCTATTTTGTTACATTACAGTCTTAAGTTCAATGTTTTATTAATCTGAATTTTATGTGATGGATCAGAACACAATAGTCTAAGCTGGTGAATTGAAATGAGAAAAATATATACATAAAACTATTTTTTAGAAATAGAAAATTGGCATGTGCGTATGCATTCACCCCCTTTGTTATGAAGCCCATAAAAAGCTCTGGTACAACCAATTACCTTTAGAAGTCACATAATTAGTGAAATGATGTCCACCTGTGTACAATCTAAGTGTTACATGATCTGTGATTACATATACACACCTTTTTTGAAAGGCCCCAGAGGCTGCAACACCTAAGCAAGAGGCACCACTAACCAAACACTGCCATGAAGACCAAGGAACTCTCCAAACAAGTAAGGGACAATGTTGTTGAGAAGTGCAAGTCAGGGTTAAGTTATAAAAAATATCCATATCTTTGATGATCCCCAGTAGCACCATTAAATATATCTGAATATATCCAAATGGAAAGAACATGGCACAACAGCAAAGCTGCCAAGGGACGGCCGACCACCAAAACTCACGGACCGGTCAACGAGGGCATTAATCAGAGAGGCAGCACAGAGACCTAAGGTAACACTGGATGAGCTGCAGAGTTCCACAGCAGAGACTGGAGTATCTGTACATAGGATGACAATAAGCCCCTCCATAGAGTTCGGCTTTATGG